ACATGTATACAGTAATGTATATCCCAGCTCCCCTGTACTCCATTATAGTGATATGACGTGTATACAGTAATGTATATCCCCCTCCCCTGTACTCCATTATAGTGATATGACGTGTATACAGTAATGTATATCCCAGCTCCCCTGTACTCCATTATAGTGATATGACGTGTATACAGTAATGTATATCCCCCCTCCCCTGTACTCCATTATAGTGATATGACATGTATACAGTAATGTATATCCCAGCTCCCCTGTACTCCATTATAGTGATATGACGTGTATACAGTAATGTATATCCCCCCTCCCCTGTACTCCATTATAGTGATATGACATGTATACAGTAATGTATATCCCCCTCCCCTGTACTCCATTATAGTGATATGGCATGTATACAAATGTATATCCCCCTCCCCTGTACTCCATTATAGTGATATGACATGTATACAGTAATGTATACCCCCCCTCCCCTGTACTCCATTATAGTGATATGACATGTATACAATAATGTATATCCCCCCTCCCCTGTACTCCATTATAGTGATATGACGTGTATATACAGTAATGTATATCCCAGCTCCCCTGTACTCCATTATAGTGATATGACGTGTATACAGTATATGTATATCCCCCCTCCCCTGTACGCCATTATAGTGATATGACATGTATACAGTAATGTATATCCCAGCTCCCCTGTACTCCATTATAGTGATATGACATGTATACAGTAATGTATATCCCCCTTCCCCTGTACTCCATTATAGTGATATGACATGTATACAGTAATGTATATCCCAGCTCCCCTGTACTCCATTATAGTGATATGACATGTATACAGTAATGTATATCCCCTCCCTGTACTCCATTATAGTGATATGACATGTATACAGTAATGTATATCCCAGCTCCCCTGTACTCCATTATAGTGATATGACATGTATACAGTAATGTATATCCCAGCTCCCCTGTACTCCATTATAGTGATATGACATGTATACAGTAATGTATATCCCCCTCCCCTGTACTCCATTATAGTGATATGACATGTATACAGTAATGTATATCCCAGCTCCCCTGTACTCCATTATAGTGATATGACATGTATACAGTAATGTATATCCCCCTCCCCTGTACTCCATTATAGTGATATGACATGTATACAGTAATGTATATCCCCCCTCCCCTGTACTCCATTATAGTGATATGACGTGTATACAGTAATGTATATCCCAGCTCCCCTGTACTCCATTATAGTGATATGACATGTATACAGTAATGTATATCCCCCCTCCCCTGTACTCCATTATAGTGATATGACATGTATACAGTAATGTATATCCCCCTCCCCTGTACTCCATTATAGTGATATGACATGTATACAGTAATGTATATCCCAGCTCCCCTGTACCCATTATAGGGATATGACGTGTATACAGTAATGTATATCCCCCCCCCTGTACTCCATTATAGCGATATGACGTGTATACAGTAATTTATATCCCAGCTCCCCTGTACTCCATTATAGCGATATGACGTGTATACAGTAATGTATATCCCCCTCCCCTGTACTCCATTATAGTGATATGACTGTATACAGTAATGTATATCCCAGCTCCCCTGTACTCCATTTATAGTGATATGACATGTATACAGTAATGTATATCCCAGCTCCCCTGTACTCCATTATAGTGATATGACATGTATACAGTAATGTATATCCCAGCTCCCCTGTACTCCATTATAGTGATATGACGTGTATACAGTAATGTATATCCCCCTCCCCTGTACTCCATTATAGTGATATGACATGTATACAGTAATGTATATCCCAGCTCCCCTGTACTCCATTATAGTGATATGACGTGTATACAGTATGTATATCCCCCTCCCCTGTACTCCATTATAGTGATATGACGTGTACACAGTAATGTATATCCCAGCTCCCCTGTACTCCATTATAGTGATATGACATGTATACAGTAATGTATCCCCCCCTCCCCTGTACTCCATTATAGTGATATGACGTGTATACAGTAATGTATATCCCACTCCCCTGTACTCCATTATAGCGATATGACGTGTATACAGTAATTTATATCCCAGCTCCCCTGTACTCCATTATAGCGATATGATGTGTATACAGTAATGTATATCCCCCCTCCCCTGTACTCCATTATAGTGATATGACTGTTATACAGTAATGTATATCCCCCTCCCCTGTACTCCATTATAGTGATATGACATGTATACAGTAATGTATATCCCCCTCCCCTGTACTCCATTATAGTGATATGACGTGTATACAGTAATGTATATCCCAGCTCCCCTGTACTCCATTATAGTGATATGACGTGTATACAGTAATGTATATCCCCCTCCCCTGTACTCCATTATAGTGATATGACGTGTATACAGTAATGTATATCCCAGCTCCCCTGTACTCCATTATAGTGATATGACGTGTATACAGTAATGTATATCCCCCCTCCCCTGTACTCCATTATAGTGATATGACATGTATACAGTAATGTATATCCCAGCTCCCCTGTACTCCATTATAGTGATATGACGTGTATACAGTAATGTATATCCCAGCTCCCCTGTACTCCATTATAGTGATATGGCATGTATACAGTAATGTATATCCCCTCCCCTGTACTCCATTATAGTGATATGGCATGTATACAGTAATGTATATCCCAGCTCCCCTGTACTCCATTATAGTGATATGGCATGTATACAATATGTATATCCCAGCTCCCCTGTACTCCATTATAGTGATATGACATGTATACAGTACTTACTCCTAGTCCCTCCGAGTCCCCCGCAGCGGTGGAGAGGGTGTCTCCTCTCTGCGGAGGAGAGCGGACCTCTCCTGCACCTGTCCCTTCAGCAGCGGTGCCGCAGGAGCCGGAAACCGGAAGTTGTAAACCGGAACTCGGCTTCAAAATGAGGCTTATCTGTGCTCACCGCTCGCAACTGCTTGCCACAGAGGAATTTCTCCTCGCATTTGGCGAGCGGGCGAGCTTTTTCAAGCCCTGTTTTAGATTGTAAGCTCCAAGGAGCAGGGCCCTCCTAACCTTCTTGTATTGAACTGTATCGTTGCCATATTGTCTCCCTTTATATCGTAAAGCGGTGAGCAAACTGTTGGGGCTATATAAATCCTGTATAATAATAATAATAATATAACCTAGGTTTTGACACTGTATAGAGACTGTGTGGTTTTGACTGCTATCAGGAATATACAGACCAGATACAGAGATTCTACAGTTTTGTATCATATTTGGCATTCAGTAGGGGTATGGAAGTTTGAGCAGTCTATGGGTACCCAGGCATTGTGGGAACTGCAACTCCCAGCATGACCTGACCTTTTTTTCTCACAGTAGCCAGGCAGTCAGATATTCTGTGCCTATCCTTATCCTCCACCTTAAATTGATGCCCACATATAGAAATCACCAACCCTCCAAAGATGAGTCCTCAAAAGTGATGGATTCTGGAGTCTGCAGAGACTTATAGGAATGAGGCTCACTGCTATTGCGCATATCTGTCACCCACAAGCACCTCCCCTGTACTTTACCCTCTCAATCCCAATATTGTGCCCTCCCAATCCAAATATTGTGCCCTCCTTACTCCACCCGTACTATGCCCTCCTGACTCCCCACGTACTCTGCCCTCCTGACTCTCCCAGTACTGTGCCCTCCCGATCCCAAAATTGTGCCCCCTCCTGACTCCACTGTACTGTGCCCTCCTGATCCCAGTACTGTGCCCTCCTGATCCCTGTATTGTGCCCTCCTGACCCCTGTATTGTGCCCTCCTGACCCCTGTATTGTGCCCTCCTGACCCCAGTACTGTGCCCTCCTGATCCCTGTATTGTGCCCTCCTGATCCCAGTACTGTGCCCTCTTGATTTCACTACTGTGCCCTCCCGATCCCTGTACTGTGCCCTCCCGATCTCTGTATTGTGCTCTCCCGATCCCTGTATTCTGCCCTCCCGATCCCTTTATTCTGCCCTCCCGATCCCAATACTGTGCCCTCCCGATCCCAGTACTGTGCCCTCCCGATCCCAGTACTGTGCCCTCCAGATCCCAGTACTGTGCCCTCCCGATCCCTGTACTGTGCCCTCCCGATCCCTGTACTGTGCGCTCCCGATCCCAGTATTGTGCCCTCCTGACTCCCCCTGTTCTGTGCCTTCCTGACTCCCCCTGTTCCATGCACTCCTGATTCCAGTGTTGTGCCCTCCTGTTCCAAGTATCGTGCCCTCCTGATCCCAGTATTGTGCCCTCCTGTTCCAGGTATTGTGCCCTCCTGTTCCAGGTATTGTGCCCTCCTGATCCCAGTATTGTGCCCTCCTGATCCCAGTATTGTGTCCTCCTGATCCCAGTATCGTGCCCTCCTGACTCCCCCATACTGTGCCCTTTATGTTGATTAGTCTTTGATTTATTGCATGTTTTCTTATTGTTTAAAGTCAATTTTATTGAAAGTACTAAATCTTTTGTTTCATTCTATCAACTATTTATACCTTCATTACTGATAATAGGTAAGTTAGTGCAGGCTGGTAGGGGCCCCAGTGCATTACTTTGCCAGGGGCCCATGATGCTATTAGGATGGCCCTGTCTCTCCTTCCTACAGGAAGTCACAGGGTCACAGCTGTTATACATTATAGAACAGGACGACAGTGACAGAATGACAGCAAACTGACTGCACTGCCATTCACCGATCTCCGCCACAGCAATGAAAGCTGACCCCGCCCACACCCGCCTCCTGTCACTCAACTATCCCGCTATGTGTAACTCCGCCCATCACACGTGGGCGAACGCAGGCCAGCATGGCACTCCGCTCACAAAACCCCACCCACTAGCCCCACTCAAGCCCGCCCACTCTGCCATTCCCAGTAGGTGTGTCCATACGCGGCTCCTCCCCGCACGGTTGCCTAGTAGCAGGACGCTGTGTACGGCGGAACGGACGGGTGAAGGCAGCATGGCGCCCAAGAAGAAGAAGAAGGGGAAAGGGAGCGCAGCCGGGAAGAAGGCGGAGGAGAGGACCAGAGGGGAGCCGGTCACCGAGGAGAGCAAAGAGTTCTACCAACTGCAGATCCGGGACCTGGAGGGCCGCTTGGAGAGGTGATCCTGGGGGACTACAGGTCCCAGCATGCCCTGACTGCGATCTGAGTGACTACAAGTCCCAAGTGGGTTAGAACTACAACTCCCAACATGCCCTGGAGGGAGTAGAAGGAGCGGGGTCATGGTGACAGCCAGAAAATGAGCATTTCCAGATTGAGATGTCTGCGACAATAGCCACAGATTTCCCTGAGGGATCGTACACCGCAATCTCTGGGATCGCTCTGCGTTCACATGCCTGTTGTGAAATAATTATTATTAGAACGCATCTTTTGTGAAAGCGGCCTCTTTGATGCGCTTTTCATGAAACGTGCGTTCTAATAGAGTTTAATGGCAGCACACCTAAAAAACACATGAAAAATGTGACGGAAAAAAAATGCATTGATGTGAGCCCAGCCAGAAAAATGCAGCACAAAGTTGTATTTTTTCTTAACGCACATGAAAGCACCACAGTGGTGTAAATCAGGGTGACTGGAATCCATTTTTGTTGCCTATGTGTTCACACTGCATTCAGACCACATTTAAAATGCATCGGATTGCATCTGGAGTAGGTGAGGGCCCATTCGCATTAGAACCCAATGCGTGAAACTTGTGTTCCATGCATGTTTCCTGCACTGCATTCAAAATGCAGTGCCCTTGTTATCTGCAGTGGGTGTCAGTGCAATGTTAACGACACCCCAAACGTAGGTCACAAATGCAGTGCGTTTGCCCACACTTGATCGCATGGTACAAAAGTAGCATGCAATCCAGTTGCAGTGCATTTCCAAAATTAGTGCGTTTTGAGCTCATTCAAAATGAATGGTCTGAAATTGCACCACACAAAACTGAATGTGAATCGCGCAGGAACTGCATGTGCGATTCACATGCCCTTTAGGGCTGTTCACACATGGAGTCGCACAGGAATGTGCCTGAGTGTGGATTCACACAAATGCAGTGCAAATTAAAGTTCTGCTTTTAAAGCTAGTTGACACAGTAGATGTTCAGCGGTTTAGATCAGGACAGGTTTACATCGGGATCAGGTTAGGTTTAGATCGGCATCAGGTTAGGTTTGCATCGGGATCAGGACAGGTTTGCATCAGCATCAGGTCAGGTTTGCTTCGGCATCAGGTCAGGTTTGCTTCGGCATCAGGTCAGGTTTGCTTCGGCATCAGGTCAGGTTTGCTTCGGCATCAGGATAGGTTTGCATCGGCATCAGGACAGGTTTGCATCGGCATCAGGACAGGTTTGCATCGGGGTCAGGTTTAGATCAGGTCAGGTTTACTTCAGGATCACGATAGGTTTACATTGGGATCAGGACAGATTTACATCAGGATCTCGACAGGTTTAGATCACAATCAAGACAGGTTTAGATCAGGATCACGGCAGGTTTTTGCTCAGGATCAGGGCAGGTTTTTGCTCAGGATCAGGGCAGGTTTTTGCTCAGGATCAGGGCAGGTTTTAGCTCAGGATCAGGGCAGGTTTTAGCTCAGGATCAGGGCAGGTTTATATCAAGATTAGGGCAGATTTTAGCTCAGGATCAGGGCAAGTTTAGATCAAGATCAGGGCAGGTGTTAGCTCAGGTTCAGAGCAGGTTTAGATCAAGATCAGGGCAGGTTTTAGCTCACGTTCAGGGCAGATTTACATTGGGATCAGAATGGGACTAGATCAGGATCAGGTTAGGATTTTATCCTGTTCACAACTGAATGACATGCACGATTCAGAAGCGTTCCCAAAGAAGTCAATGGGCCTGAATTCGCACCTGAGCTAGACTGCATTGCTCAGAAAACTGACAGGACTCTTTTTCAATAAAGCATATATGTGAAATATATGTGATATGTTAAAAACGTATCCAATCCACATATATGTGAACCGGCTCTAAGGGCCTGTCCACATTAGAACACAGTGCGGGAAACCCACGTTCCATGCACTGTTCCTGCACCGCATTCAAAACACACTGCCCTTGTGATTTGCAGTGGGTGTCAGTGCAATGTTAATGACACCTTAAACGAAGGTCAGAAACGCAGTGTGTTTGCCTGTAGCAGATCGCATAATACAAAAGTAACATGAAATCTGGTTGCAGTGAGTTTCCAGACATACTGCATGCAATACTATTGGTGTGGTGCGATTTTAGCTAATTCAAAATGAGAACCGCATGCAAATTGCACAGAAACTGCACAGCCCATTCCTGTGCAATGCCTAGTGTGCGCCAGCCTTCAAAGCAGAAGTAAGGGCACTCATACGTCACTTTGTTTCAGCAGTCCAACACCAGTAAGATCCCCCCACCAGTTTTGGCATTGCCTCCCCAGGTCCTTTGGCTGTTTTGATTGGCTGGGGCACGATGGTGTCAATCACATGCATGCGTGGGAGTGCAGCCAACCCAGAACACTGGTAGTGGTATCCTACACCACTTATCTAACAGACCTTGTCCTCACCTCTTTTCCTACAGCCCTTGTCCTACACCACTTATCCTTCAGCCCTTGTCCTACACCACTTATCCTACAGACTTTGTCCTACACCACTTATCCTACAGCCCTTGTCCTACACCACTTATCCTACAGCCCTTGTCCTACAGCCCTTGTCCTACACCTCTTATCCTACAGCCCTTGTCCTACAGCCCTTGTCCTACACCACTTATCCTACAGCCCTTGTCCTACACCACTTATCCTACAGCCCTTGTCCTACATCCTACAGCCCTTGCCCACCTTTATCCTACAGCCCTTGTCCTACAGCCACTTATCCTACAGCCCTTGTCCTACACCACTTATCCTACAGCCCTTGTCCTACACCACTTATCCTACAGCCCTTGTCCTACACCCTACTACCACTTATCCTACAGCCCTTGTCCTACACCACTTATCCTACAGCCCTTGTCCTACACCACTTATCCTACAGCCCTTTGTCCTACACCACTTATCCTACAGCCCTTGTCCTACACCCTTACACAGCCCTTGTCCTACACCCTTATCTATCCTACAGACCTTGTCCTACACCTTGTCTTATCCTACAGCCCTTGTCCTAAACCTCTTATCCTACAGCCCTTGTCCTACACCACTTATCCTACAGACCTTACATCCTACAGCCCTTGTCCTACACCTCTTATCCTACAGCCCTTGTCCTACACCACTTATCCTACAGCCCTTGTCCTACACCACTTATCCTACAGCCCTTGTCCTACACCACTTATCCTACAGCCCTTGTCCTACACCACACCTTATCCTACAGCCCTTGTCCTGTATCCTACAGCCCTTGTCCTACACCTCTTATCCTACAGCCCTTGTCCTACACCACTTCTCCTACAGCCCTTGTCTTACAGCCCTTATCCTACAGCCCTTGTCCTACACCTCTTATCCTACAGCCCTTGTCCTACAGCCCTTGTCCTACACCTCTTATCCTACAGCCCTTGTCCTGCACCACTTATCCTACAGACTTTGTCCTACACCACTTATCCTACAGCCCTTGTCCTACTCCTCTTATCCTACAGCCCTTGTCCTACTCCTCTTATCCTACAGCCCTTGTCCTACACCACTTATCCTACAGACTTTGTCCTACACCTCTTATCCTACAGCCCTTGTCCTACACCACTTATCCTACAGACTTTGTCCTACACCACTTATCCTACAGCCCTTGTCCTACACCACTTATCCTACAGCCCTTGTCCTACACCACTTATTCTACAGACTTTGTCCTACACCTCTTATCCTACAGCCCTTGTCCTACACCTCTTATCCTTCAGCCCTTGTCCTACACCACTTATCCTACAGACTTTGTCCTACACCACTTATCCTACAGCCCTTGTCCTACACCACTTATCCTACAGCCCTTGTCCTACAGCCCTTGTCCTACACCTCTTATCCTACAGCCCTTGTCCTACACCACTTATCCTACAGCCCTTGTCCTACAGCCCTTGTCCTACACCACTTATCCTACAGCCCTTGTCCTACACCTCTTATCCTACAGCCCTTGTCCTACAGCCCTTGTCCTACACCTCTTATCCTACAGCCCTTGTCCTACACCACTTATCCTACAGCCCTTGTCCTACACCTCTTATCCTACAGCCCTTGTCCTACAGCCCTTGTCCTACACACCTCTTATCCTACAGCCCTTGTCCTACAGCCCTTGTCCTACACCACTTATCTTACAGTCCTTGTCCTACACCTCTTATCCTACAGCCCTTGTCCTACAGCCCTTGTCCTGCAGACCTTGTCCTACACCTCTTATCCTACAGCCCTTGTCCTACACCACTTATCCTACAGACTTTGTCCTACACCACTTAGCCTACAGCCCTTGTCCTACTCCTCTTATCCTACAGCCCTTGTCCTACCCCACTTATCCTGCAGACTTTGTCCTACACCTCTTATCCTACAGCCCTTGTCCTACACCACTTATTCTACAGACTTTGTCCTACACCTCTTATCCTACAGCCCTTGTCCTACACCTCTTATCCTTCAGCCCTTGTCCTACACCACTTATCCTACAGACTTTGTCCTACACCACTTATCCTACAGCCCTTGTCCTACAGTCCTTGTCCTACACCTCTTATCCTACAGCCCTTGTCCTACAGCTCTTATCCTACAGCCTTTGTCCTACACCACTTATCCTACAGCCCTTGTCCTACAGCCCTTGTCCTACACCTCTTGTCCTACAGCCCTTGTCCTATACCTCTTATCCTACAGCCCTTGTCCTACACCACTTATCCTACAGACTTTGTCCTTCACCACTTATCCTACAGCCCTTGTCCTACACCTCTTATCCTACAGCCCTTGTCCTACACCTCTTATCCTACAGCCCTTGTCCTACACAACTTATCCTACAGACTTTGTCCTACACCTCTTATTCTACAGCCCTTGTCCTACACCACTTATCCTACAGACTTTGTCCTACACCACTTATCCTACAGACTTTGTCCTACACCACTTATCCTACAGCCCTTGTCCTACACCCCTTATTCTACAGACTTTGTCCTACACCTCTTATCCTACAGCCCTTGTCCTACACCTGTTATCCTACAGCCCTTGTCCTACACCACTTATCCTACAGACTTTGTCCTACACCTCTTATCCTACAGCCCTTGTCCTACACCTGTTATCCTACAGCCCTTGTCCTACACCTGTTATCCTACAGCCCTTGTACACCCTACACCACTTATCCTACAGCCCTTGTCCTACACCACTTATCCTACAGCCCTTGTCCTACACCACTTATCCTACAGCCCTTGTCCTACACCACTTATCCTACAGCCCTTGTCCTACACCTGTTATCCTTCAGCTCTTGTCCTGCACCTCTCATCCTACAGCCCTTGTCCTAAATCTGTTATCCTACAGCCCTTCTCCTACACCTCTTATCCTACAGCTCTGATACTACAGCCCTCGTCCTGTGGTACTTATCCTACAGCTATTATCTTACAGCCTTTGTCGTAGAGTTCTTATCCTACAGTCCTTGTCCTACAGATGTTATCCTATGGCCAATTGTAAAAAGGCCCTAAAGGAAACTTTTTACATCAAACTTAATGTATTACTAAGACATCTACTGGGACTAAGTAAGTCAGTACCCCAGACTTCTTTTTTTTTTTTTTTTTTAGTGTTGTAGTGATCCTGACATGGGTTCTATTTTTTCCCAAACTTAATTCTATCTAACCAAAACTAGGAAAAAACAATGACTTATATGGTTGTGCTCAAAAGCATGCATACCCTGGCAGAAATTGTGATATTTGACACTGATATTGAAAATATGACTGATCATGCCAAAACATTACATGACATAAGGGGAAGTTGCTCTGTAATGTACAGAAAAGAACTAATGATTGCTGATAATGTTGTTTAAGATTCCAGATCAGACACAGGAAGTTACAAAGACACTGGATTTCAGGCAGGATTTACAGGTATCTTCTGTGCTCACAGCAGGGCTGCCTTAATGCACAAGCACCCCTGGGCACTGGGTGCATGGGGGCCCCGTGATAATCTTGTATTACATCATACTTTCCAACTGTCCCGGATTTGCCAGGACAGTCATGCTTTTTACAGAGCTGTCCCGGGATAACCCAGGCAGCGTCCCAGAACCAGTACTGTGCCCTCCTTATCCCAGTGTTGTGCCCTTCTGCCTCCCCCCGTACTGTGCCCTTTGCGTTGATTAGTCTTTGATTTATGGAATGTTTTCTTATTGTTTAAAATCACTTTTATAGAAAGTACTAATTATTATGTTTAATTCTATCAACTATTTATACTTTCATTCTTGACAGTAGGTGTGTAAATTGGGGCAGGCTAGTAGGGGCCCCAGTGCATTACTCTACCCATGATGCTATTTAGACGACCATGAAAATGTACGTCACTGGACTTTCAGTGTTTATACAGGAGTGATGCCTGCCACTGCAGTACCATTTTTTAGAGCCATCAGTCAGCTCTCTTGTAATAGCAATTGCAGCAGCTTTCCAGCCGCTAGATTGCTATTACAAGCAGCGGGTGAGGATTGCCTTCCTCCGCTCTCTTGGGCTCGCCTTTCCCACCAACATGTGCCAGCTAGCTGGACAGTCGAATAAAGCCGGGATTGGCTTTCATTGGCTCTCCATTACAGTGAACCGGAAACGATGACCTGACATTACTTCCGGTTTACTCGAAAGTAAACCGTGCCATTTTTAAAAAATAAAATCATTCAGAAATGCCGATCTTGGTGTTTTTGAATGCTTTTAAGTGCAGAGGAGGGATTTGGGGTCTTATAGACCCCAGATCTCTCCCTAAATAGTAACTGTCATGTACCTTTTTGCTGTCACAAGGATGTTTACATTCCTTGTGACAGCAATAACAGTGATCAAAAATAAATAAAAGAAACCGTGTAAAAATAAAAAAAAAAAAATAAAAAAAAAATGTAAATCACCCCTACTTCACCCACTTCCATGCTCGCGCTCAAATGTGTGCATTGGTCCCGCACACATGAAAACAGCGCTACACCCACACTTGTGAGGTACTACCTTGAACATCAGATCATGGGTAGTAATTCTAGCACCAGACCTTCTCTGTAAATCTAAAGTGGTAACCTGTAAAGGCTTTTAAGGCTTCGCCTATGGATGTACGTTGTTTGTCGCCATTGCACAGGCATGCGCAATTTTAAAGCATGACATGTTTGGTATCTGTTTACTCGGTGTGACATCTTTTATATGGGTCATGGATTGTGTTTTATTTGCAATCAAATTAAAAAAAGTGTATTTTTTTCCCGTAAAATTGCGTTTGAAAAACTGCTATGCAAATACCGTGTGACAAAAAACATCAAACCCATCAATTTATTCTCTAGGTCCTCTTTTTAAAAAAAAAATATAATGTTTAGGAGCTCTAAGTAATTTTCTATCAAAAAATACTGATTGTTACATGTGAACAAAAAGTGCTAGAAATGGCCCAGATTGGAGGTAGTTAACCAGCTTGACTTATACACAGGTATCAGAACAAATGGGATGAAATTTGTGCAAAGGAGAGTCAGTTTCAGGCACAGTTCGAGCAATTGTCCAGTGATAAGAAAGAGATCGTGTCTTTTCTCAAGCGAACCCTCAACCAACGTATGGATGAAATCGCTGACCTCAACGATCAGCTGACTGGACTACAACAGGCCAAAGATGCAGAGAAAGAAGCCTACGAGGCACAGCTGGCACAGGTACGGACTGAATCCCAGGAGAACATGGATCGTCTCACTTCAGAGAACATGCTACTGGGTAAGAGTTGTCCTCTACTCCTATCCTATCATACCCTACCCTGTCCTATCCTATCCTACCCTATCCTATAATACCCTATCCTATCCTACCCTATCCTATAATACCCTATCCTATCCTATCCTAGAATACCCTATCCTATAATACCCTACCCTACCCTATCCTATAATACCCTACCCTATCCTATAATACCCTACCCTATCCTATCCTATAATACTCTACCCTATCCTATAATACCCTACCATACCCTATCCTATAATACCCTACCCTACCCTATCCTATCATACCCTTCCCTTATCCTATCCTATGATACCCTTCCCTTATCCTATCATACCTTATCCTATCCTATAATACCCTACCCTATCCTATCCATATTAATGATGATTTGCAGACATGTTTCTGTTATCTTCATGTGTCTTTATTTTGCCTTCCGCAAGCTATGTGACTTGTCATTGCTGACATCCTACATTCACATCCCCTTCCACCTCTTCCACGCAATTCCCCTGTGTTGTCACTGTCTGTATCTAGAGAGGAAGATCAGCCCATGACCCCAGGCGAAGCATACAGGAACCCACAATTCCTCAGCTCTGAGCACATCCAGGTTCTTTGCTTCAGTGTGCTGAAGCTGATTGAATTGCAGATAGGGATTACCTGTCCCCAGTGTGTGTCTGATGGACACAAAGGGAGGTATCAGGGATCCAGTTGATCCTGGACTGTCTTAATAAAGATGTCCCCACTCTTGAAAAATGCAAAAAAAGTATCCTATCATGTTCTTTGACATTTGCACCTCTTTTCCTCTCATGTCTTACACACCCTGACTACACTTCAGGTACATTGTCATAACTTTCTCTGTCTTCTATCTCCTGAAGATTACATCCACATCAAAACCCTCTGTATTCCTCTCGTGCACATACCGTTCACTGTCATACCCTCCACACTCCTCTCCTGTACATACCATTCACTGTCATACCCTCCACCCTCCTCTTCTGTACATACCGCCCACTGTCATACCCTCCACCCCCCTCTTCTGTACATACTGCCCACTGTCATACCCTCCACACTCCTCTCTGGTACATACCGCCCACTGTCATACCCTCCACACTCCTCTCCTGTACATACCGCCCACTGTCATACCCTCCACACTCCTCTCCTGTACATACCGCTCACTGTCATACCCTCCACACTCCTCTCCTGTACATACCGCCCACTGTCATACCCTCCACACTCCTCTCCTGTACATACCGCCCACTGTCATACCCTCCACCCCCCTCTTCTGTACATACCGCCCACTGTCATACCCTCCACCCCCCTCTTCTGTACATACCGCCCCACTATCATACCCTCCACACTCCTCTCCTGTACATACCGCTCACTGTCATACCCCCCACACTCCTCTCCTGTACATACCGCCCACTGTCATACCCTCCACACTCCTCTCCTGTACATACCGCCCACTCCTGTACCCTTCACACTCCTCTCCTGTACATACCGCCCACTGTCATACCCTCCACACTCCTCTCCTGTACATACCACACCCTGTCATACCCTCCACACTCCTCTCCTGTACATACCACACCCTGTCATACCCCCCACACTCCTCTCCTGTACATACCGCCCACTGTCATACCCCCCCCTTCACACTCCTGTCATACCCTTCACACTCCTCTCCTGTACATACCGCTTACTGTCATACCTTCCACACTCCTCTCCTGCACATACCCTTTGTATTCCAATCATGTACAGTTTGTGTTCAAAATAATAGCAGTCAGACATCACTAACCTGATCAATCACTGTTTTTGGTAGAAATGATATTTCTACATGGCAAATAATTTACTAGCAGGTGTAGTAGAGTAATAGAAATCCAACAGACCCAACAGTCATGACATGCATGCTGCTGATTCTGTGTAATTGAATCACTAATTGAAAGGGGCATGTTCAAAATAATAGCAGCGTGGAGTTCTATTAGTGAGGTCAATCATTCTTTGAAAAACAGGTGGCAATTATTGCCCTTATTTAAGGAAGGAAGGCAGCAAATGTTGTACATGCTGGTTACAGTGCATTTCTCTCTGAAATTCTGAGGAAAATGGGTCGTTCCAGACATTGTTCAGAAGAGCAACGTACCTTGATTAAAAAGTTGATTGGAGAGGGGAAAACATAAAGAAGTGCAGAAAATGATAGGCTGCTCAGCTAAAATGATCGCAAATGCTTTAAAATGGCAACCAAAACCTGAAAGACGTGGAAGAAAGCGAAAAACTACCATTCGAATGGATAGAAGAATAGCTAAAATGGCAAGGACTCAGCCAACAATCAGCTCCAGGAAGATCAAAGAAGGTCTAAAGTTACCTGTGAGTACTGTTACAATTAGAAGACGCCTATGTGAAGCCAAGCTATCTGCAAGAAGCCCCCGCAAAGTCCCACTGCTGAAAAAAAGACGTGCTGAAGAGGTTACAATTTGCCAAAGAGCACATTGACTGGCCTAAAGAGAAATGGCGCAACATTTTGTGGACTGATGAAAGTAAGATTGTTCTTTTTGGGTCTAGTGGCCAGAGACAGTTTGTCAGACGACCCCCAAACACTGAATTCAAGCCACAGTACACTGTGAAGACAGTGAAGCATGGTTGCGCAAGCATCATGATATGGGGATGTTTCTCATACTACGGTGTTGGGCCTATTTATCGCATACCAGGGATCATGGATCAGTTCGAATACATCAGAATACTTGAAGAGGTCATGCTGCCTTATGTTGAAGAGGAAATGCCCTTGAAATGGCTGTTCCAACAAGACAACGACCCCAAACACACCAGTAAATGTGCAACATCTTGGTTCCAGACCAACAAGATTGACGTTATGGAGTGGCCACCCCAATCCCCGGATCTTAATCCAATAGAAAACTTGTGGGGTGACATCAAAAATGCAGTTTCTGAGGCAAAACCAAGAAATAGAGAAGAACTGTGGAATGTAGTCCAATCCTCCTGGGCTGGAATACCTGTTCACAGGGGCCAGAAGTTGGTTGACTCCATACAACACAGATGTACAGCAGTTCTCAGAAACAGTGCTTATACAACTAAATATTCATTAAGTGATTCAAAGGAAAGCAAAATCTTCAAACATTTTTCAGTTTATATAGTGAATGTTTGAGTTTGTAAAGAAGAATACAAACACTGCGATTTTTTTGAACAGTCTAATATTCACTTTTCTTGAATTTTAGTTTAGAGGAACAACACAAATTTGATATATTTTTCTTCATGTTTTGATTTGGAATAGAATGTGTAGTGTTCCCAATGCATTTGTGTGTATCGAAATAAAAGCTATTAGAAGGATTTTCAGCCTTATTCACTTTTTTCAACACACTGCTGTTATTTTGAACACAACTGTATATACTGCTCACTGTCATACCTTCTGCATTCCTCTCCTGTACATACTGTCAGCTTTGATATCTTTCACACTCATCTCCTGCACATAGTGTCTGTTTTGATATCCTCTACACTCTTCCCCTGCACATGCCCTTAGTATTCCAATCCTGTACATACGGTTTACTGTCATACCCTCTGCACTCCCCTCTTGCACAAACTGATCACTGTGATATCCTGCACACTTCTCTCCTGCACATACCACCCACCATCATACACTCCACATTCTTCTCCAGCACATATTGCCCATTGTCATACCCTGCACACTCCTGTCCTGCAGATACTTTTACTACCATATCCTTTGCCCTCCTCTCCTGCACAAATTGACACTTTTTATACCATCTGCACTCCTCTCCTGCACATACTGCCTTCTGTGATATCCTCCACACTACTCTCCTGCACATACTGCGTGCTATCATACCTTCTGCACTCCTCACCTGTACTAATACCGGTTGTTATACCCCCTGTACTCCTCACCTGTACATATTGGCCACCAGTATACCCTCCACATTCCGCTCCTGCACATTCTGCCCACTGTCATACCCGTCACACCCCAATTCTGCTCATATAGCCTACTGTCATATCCTCCACACTCCTCTCCTGGTCATATTGCCCACCATCATACCCTCTGACACATCCTCATCTGTACATACTGCTCACTGTCATACTCTCCACAGTCCTCTGCTGCTCATATTGCCCACCATCATACCCTCTGACACCCCTCATTTGTACATACTGCTCACTGTCATACCCTCCACAATCCTCTGCTAGTCATATTGCCCACCATCATATCCTCTGACACTCCTCATCTGTAGATACTGTCTCTGTCATACCCTCCGCATTCCTCTCCTGCACTTTTTGCCCTTATGTCTTCCTCGCTTCTGTACTGTAGACACTGTCATTGTCATACCCTCTGCATTCTTGTCTCTTGGATACTGTCATTGTCATTCCCTCCACACTTCTGTCCTGTAGATATTTCCCTATTTCTTATAAAATTGTACATGGCGTTTCTCCTTCTAACTGATAATTCTGTATATGAAACATATCTTAAGTGTTGTTTATAATATCCCAACATTAACAGGCACACTTTTGCTATTTTGTGTTAAGAAAAAGATAAAATATTTTTAAGTGCTATACAATCCTTTAAATAAACTGGTTTGCTGATTGTCATTTATTCTACCTTTAAATGTTCATTGTATCTTCGCTGTAGCTAAAAAGGGCAACTGGCCACCTATGTGTTTGCTGGATCTAGTTCTATGGTTATTGCTGATATGCTTTTTCCATTCTTTTAAGGGGCTTCAATTATTTCAAACATTCCCAGTTTGCAGGGTGGGAAATCACAGATTTTGTCAAAGTTTTACCTTCGCACTACAGAGTAGGCTCCTGCTACCATCCTCATACACAGTATTCCTGTACATTTGACGCCTTGCTAATGAAGATTTTAGCCTTAAAGTGAATCTGTGCTTTGCCCATACAGGGAATGCCAACCTCACAGCTGTTTATAGTCACTTTCCTTTGTTTTCTCCACTACTTTTTTCTGAAATCATGAAGCAATAATGAAGCAATAATAACTGATTTACTATGCCCAAAAATGGGCATTATGTAAATAGTCTTGTGTGTGTTTTTTATGACTGTGGGAGGGACTGTAGAGTGTAGGCTCCTCAGGGGTGGAGCCTAAGAGTTGCGCCAGCAATATGCAAATGAACACACTAAAGTAGGCTGGCAGTTTGGCATCTGGAAAAAGTTGTGACATAAGTAATATTGGTGTTTTTGACCTGTGTGCTTTGTTTGCAGCTGGTAAATTGGCTTCCTTGGAAGAGTTCAGGGTGCAGAAAGAGGAACTGATGGCCAAATTTGCTGCATTGGAAGAAAAGTTAAGAGCTCACGAAGAAGGACACAAACAAATGATGTATGATCTGGAGATGAAGGCAGTGCTGGATAAGGACAGGTCAGGATTGCTGTGAAGTTAATTTATTCCATTGAGATTATCCAGTTAGGGGTATAGAGGAATTATTCCACTGCCCTTATGTACGGTACATCTTATATTTCCATATATAATGTTCTGATCTTGATTCTTATTGATTCTTTTTATGCCATGCACATGATAGTAACTAAGGTGTTAGTGTAGCTCTTACAGGTATTCATTATTTCTCACAGAACAATACGATTGACAATACAGACTCATACTGTATGGAGATGTTAAACCTCTTTACCTGCAAGTACAAAGAATGCCTGTGTGACTTTGCAGTAACTTTGAAGGATTGGTTTCCTTTTAATGATACACTATATTGCCAAAAGTATTGGGCCCGCCCTCCAAATCATTGGATTCAGGTTTTCCAGTCCCCTCCATGGCCACAGGTGTATAAATCAAGCACCTAGTCATGCAGACTGCTTCTACAAACATTTGTGAAAGAATGGTCGCTCTCAGGAGCTCAGTGAAATCAAGCGTGGTCCCGTGATAGGTTGCCACCTGTGCAATAAGTCCATCTGTGAAATTTCCTGGCTACTAAATATTCCACAATCAACTGTTAGTGGTATTATAACAAAGTGGAAGCAACTGGGAACAACAGCAACTCAGCTACAAAGTGGTAGACCACGTAAAATGACAGAGTGGGGTCACACAGTGCACAGAAGTCGCCAACTGTCTGCTAAAGAGTCAATAGCTAAAGACCTCCAAACTTCATGTGGCCTTCAGATTAGCACAACAACAGTGTGTAGAGAGCTTCATGGAATGGGTTTCCATGGCCGAGCAGCTGCATCCAAGCCTTACATCACCAAGTGCAATGCAAAGCGTCGGATGCAATGGTGTAAAGCACGCCACCACTGGACTCTAGAGCAGTGGAGACGTGTTCTCTGGAGTGACCATGACGCTTCTCTGGCAATCCGATGAATGTGTCTGGGTTTGGTGGTTGCAAGGAGAACGGTACTTGCCTGACTGCATTGTGCCAAGTGTAAAGTTTGGTGAAGGGGGGATTATGGTGTGGGGTTGTTTTTCAGAGGTTGGGCTTGGGGCCCCTTAGTTCCAGTGACGGGAACTCTTAAGGCATCAGCATACCAAGACATTTTGGACAATTTCATGCTCCCAACTTTGTGGGAACAGTTTGGGGATGGTCCCTTCCTGTTCCAACATGACTGCGCACCAGTGCACAAAGCAAGGTCCATAAAGACATGGATAAGCCAGTTTGGAGTGGAGGAACTTGACTGGCCTGTACAGAGTCCTGACCTCAACCCAATAGAACACCTTGGGATGAATTAGAGCGGAGACCAGGCCTTCTCATCCGACATCAGTGCATGACCTCAACAATGTGTTTCTGGAAGAATGGTCAAACCTTCCCATAGACACACTCCTAAACCTTGTGGTCAGCCTTCCCAGAAGAGTTGAAGCTGTTATAGCTGCAAAGGGCGGGGCCAACTCAATACTGAACCTTACGGACTAAGACTGGGATGCCATTAAAGTTCATGTGTGTGTGTAAAGGCAGGCGCCTCAGTACTTTTGGCAATATAGTGTATTTGCCAAAAACACCCCTATGCATTACACCATCCTTAATACATTGTTATGCAATTCCTCTTCTATCTAAAAGAATGCTTACTTTTTAAGCTGCATATTCCATTGCCATACCCTGTGTATCCTGAAGTTAGCAGGGATATTGGGAATTGGATATGTGGCCCTGGCAACTCTTAAATGAGTACTCCGCTTAGTTATCTACCTATGCGTGCAAAGTTTGCTCTCTCTCACAGCTCAGCATTCTGCAAGAGTGAGAGAGCGCATTGCGCATGCGTGGGTGGGGATTGAAGACGAGTGCTTGTTTGTGAGTTTCCAGGGACTGTGCATCCAACGCTCAGTACGTTCTCCTATCTGCAGGACAGAGAGGGGACGGCACTGGAATAAACGGCTTTAAAAGTAAGCATTATTTTATAAAATGGAGGACTGCATAATTATACACTGAGGACATTTTAATGCATAGGGATGTTTTCGGAAAATGTCATTAAAGGTGAAATAACCTTTTAAAGTGAACAACTTTCCTGTGAATGTACTTTATGGACCATTTCTTTTTTTTACATGAGGTGACCATACCAATCTAATCTCTTCTCATAGGAAAAACATTCTGTTCAGCTAACAGCTAACCTTTCCTTAAATCCGAGCTCTTCCATGCACTTCCCTAATTTAGTTTGCCTTCTCTGCATTGTTTTAAGTTCCATTACAGTACATTCTTTTTGTCAATTGTTGCCTAAAATGTAGCTATTTAAGCTAAGGTTTTGCTGAAGCTGGCCATACACGGACTGAGATTTGACCGGTTTAGCAGGGACTAACAATGGTGGAGAAGGATTTGGAGGTTCTGGTAGATCACAAGCTTAATAATGGCATGCAATGCCAAGCTGCGGTTTCTAAAGTGAGCAAAATCCTCTCTTGTATTAAAAAAGGTATAGACTCCAGAGAGAGAGATATCATATTACCCCAGTACAAATCATTAGTAAGACCTCATCTGGAATATGCAGTTCAGTTTTGGGCACCAATTCACAAAAAGAACATTGGGGAACTGGAGAAAGTACAGAGAAAGGCAACCAAACTGATAAGAGGCATGGAGGAGATCAGCTATGAGGAAAGATTAGAGGAACTGAATTTATTCTCTCTTGAGAAGAGGAGATTAAGGGGGGATATGATCAACATGTATAAATACATCAGTGGTTCATATAGTGAACTCGGTGTAGAGGTCATGAGGTCATCACAGAGGACAAGGGGGCACTATTTACGTCTGGAGGAAAAGATATTTAATCTCCAAACACGGAAAGGTTTCTTCACAGTAAGAGCTGTGAAAATGTGGAATAGACTACCTCAAGAGTTGGTTCTGGCCAGCTCAGTGGATTGCTTCAAAAAAAGGCCTGGATTCTTTCTTAGATACACAGAATATAACTGGATACTAACATTTATAGGTAAAGTTGATCCAGAGAATATCCGATTGCCTCTCGGGGGATCAAGAAGGATTTTTTTCTCCCAGCAGGAGCAAATTGGATTGTGCTTTGCTGGGTGTTTTGCCTTCCTCTGGATCAACTGTGGGTATCGGATTATAACTTTTTTTTTTTTTTTTTCTATTGTTGAACTGGATGGACTTTTTTCAGCCAGACTAACTATGTAACTAAGTATGTAACAGAATTTTAATCTATGTAAGGGCAGGGTTGTTGCACAGAAGTTAATATACGGATTGATTTCTGTACAACCACCTTGTTGGAAAATTTCTGCTCGATCAATGCCGCTGGCTATAGCCAGCAGTGCTGATCAGTGTATTCTGATAGCGTGAGAGTCTCTCCGCTGTAAGAATACAAAGGCTCAGCAGGGAGGATTCCCCCATTCACCTTGAACATGTGGATGGAGGAAGCAAGTCATTTTTTCTTTTTTTGTTCGACCCGCAGGTTGAATGAAAAAAAACAGTCATCTATGGGCTGCCTTAGGCTTTGGTATAGGGGCAAGTTAATGGTATATTTAACAGAGCAAAAGGGAATAAATTAGAAAAAATCATGGTTAGGGTTTTCATACACATTAACCATTTCAATACCGGGCAATTTTACACCTTCCTGCCCAGGCCATTTTTCAGGTTTCAGCACTCTCACACTTTGAATGACAATTGCGCGGTCATACAACATTGTACCCAAACTAAAATTTTATCATTTTCTTCACACAACTAGAGCTTTCTTTTGGTGGTATTTAATCACCGCTGGGGTTTTTATTTTTTGCTAAATTTAACAAGAAAAGACCAAAAACTTTGAAAAAAAAACACGTTTTTCTTTGTTTCTGTTATAAAAGTTTACAAATAAATAATTGTTCTTCATAAATTTAGGCCGAGATGTATTCTGCTACATGTCTTTGGTGAAAATAACCCAAATTAGGATGTATTTTTTAGTTTGTAGGAAGGTTATAGAGTTCACAAACTATGGTATAGATCTGAAAATTGATCAATCCTTAAGTACTGACAGCCAATCTAATTTCTTGAGGTCCAAGAATGTCAGAATAGTACAGATATCCCCAAATGACCCCTTTTTGTAAAGTAGACAGTCCGATGTACTTCATAAGAGGAATGGCGAGTTTTTTGAAGTTGTATTTTTTTTTTGTCATAATTTTTTTTTTATTTTTTTTTTTTACATACTGTCACCAGTGCAGTACAGCATCATCATATAACTGGCATGGTGGTGAACAGGGACACTGACTGGTGACAGTATGAAAAAAAAAAAAATATATATATATATATTTTTTTTTTTTTTTTTTATTATTTTTAATTTTTTTATTACATTTTTTTTTTTTTTTTTTAAGATTTTTTTTTAAGATTTTTCATATTTTTTTTTCATTTTTTTCATATTTTACTATGACCAAAGTAGTACAATGTTACCATAGATCGGTGATAGATCGCGCCGCTGCTTGGCTCTGCAACCGCGCGAACTGCGCCTGTGCGGGAGGACGCCAAATGGCGTACACCCCGGAAAGCTAATGCATTTTTGCTGCCGCCAAACGGCTATAGGCCGGGCCGCTAATGGTTAATAATGTTAATGTCCATAAAGTTCTTTAACAGATGACTACTGGCTCTAATTGCACAGAAAAAAATGAATTTAGATATGTCAGAGTTTCTTGCGTAGACTGATAGAGCTACCTAGAAAGTGTCTATACAGGAAAAAGAGATGATGGCTGCACACAGGAGACTTAATCAAAAAGTAAAAATCCTCTATTCTTCCAAAGATTGGAGAAACAGCACAGAGGACTGACAAGCTGTTAACGCGTTTCACACAATTAAGTACTTAGTCATACCAGGCTTTCTGTTATTACTAAGCTTTCAGCTTGTCAGTCCTCTGTGCTGTCTCTCCCATCGTTGGAAGAATAAAGGATGTTTACTTTTCAATAAATCTCTGGTGTGTGGCCGTCATCTATTTTTCCTTTATAATATGGTGGCGAGCCGAGGCCAGCACCCATGTAAGGCTTAAGTGAGCCTTTTCACCTGATTGGTATTTTATTTATTGGATGGCTGTGTCTATACAGGACATACTGTACATACAGTATACATATACATTGTTGTCAGGGGCACAAACAAACCCAGGGATAGTAGTGCGTGACAGTTCTTGGAAAGGCGCTCGTCTCACTAGTATAACTGCCCTTTTAGATGAAGGTTGGTTGATCAACCTGGTTGCTCTATATTGGTCACACCCTCTATCATGTGTATGGATGCATGACACAGATAAGGTTTTCAGAATTACTATCTTTTTCCCACAGGTTGAAGAAGGAAATGGTCCAGCGGGTGAATACCGTGGCAGCTGAATTCCGCAGGGTGTCCAACAACCAGATGGCAGAGACTACAAAGCGAGCAATCCGCGAGAATGTGGCTATTGGTTCTCAGCTGGCCAAGATGTCAGAAAAGAGCATGGACCTGATCAATGAGAACGACCTACTGAAAGAGCGAGAATCTGAACTCTACAAACAGCTGGTGGTGCTGGAGGAGAATGAGAGGGAGCTGGTGAAGAAAAATCTAAGCAACCAAAAGGTGACATATTACCCTCAACATTGCTGGAGTAATTTATGTGAACTGTAATCCTAGAGACAATGAGGAGAGATGGATGCAGTCAAATCACAGTATAAGGCAGGGGCGGACTGACAACTCATGGGGCCCCCGGGCAATAGGAAATCATGGGGCCCCTGTGTCCTCGCCCACAAGCAAAAAAAGCCTATGAAAGGTACCAGGGGCATCTCATGGGGCCCCCTACTGACCTCGGGCAGTGCCCGAGTGCTTAAATGGTCAGTCCACCCCTGGTATAAGGGCCTGTTCACATGTGCATTTAGGGGCCAATTATGATTTCCTGTGGTAGACTCAACAAGGTTTTTGCGTCCACTGTGAGGAAGTCCTATGTAAGGCAATGAGAAGCTGACAAGCCCATGCAGCCATTTGTAGGCATTCATATGTAATCAGACATGCAGTGATTACCTGGGGATGATTGGCCTCAAATGCAAACTGTTTAAATTGACAGGGAATTTAATCCTTGCCCACACTATCCAGAAGTAAAAAGAAACATTTTTGGCTATACATACTGTGACGGAACACCAGTCACCCAGATTCTGTCAGAGAACTGCTTTCCTGCCACTGGGACACAGGACCAAGGTATTATAGCTGGGAATTGCACCCAAGATTAGACAAGACTAGCTTAGATGCCAAACTGGAACTACTTTATTGAACAGAAACACAGATTTTTATACACTCAGAAATAGGGGCAGTGCCCCCACATGAACAATAAAACAAATATTACATTCCACACTGATTAGATACTGAGGTGAAGCATGATTTCTCATCATGTAGGAGCCTCCAAGAGGACTTGCCAACAGACCCACAATAGGTGCCTCAATTAACAATGGGAATGCACACCTAGGAGGCACACAATGAGAGAAGATAGTAAACACATAACACCTTAATAAACACATTAGAGCAAGAGCTAATTAGATCAACATCTTCTTAGAGCCTCTGAGTCTGGGAAGGAGGGGGGTTGAAGCAGTCAATGCTGGTTTGGTCACAGAGACCCCAAATCTGTATGTTGGTCCTCCAGTTCTCAGAGTATGTGTGCATTGGGGAGACATGGACTTGAATCCCAAGTAAACTATTCCAAAGGTCACCCCAGGCACACACCAAAGAATAGAGCCCCCTCAGATGCCAGGGCCATGGTCAGTAGGCAAGAGGCTAGCCTGCAGTCCCCTCCAAATGCCCTGTCCCGGTTGGGTCTGTCACACATACATTTTAAATGTTATCAGATCTGATGCTGATCTATATGCTTGTGTCAGCTCAGTATTTCAAAAAGTATTGATAGATTAGCATGGCAGCCAGTCAACTAGCACTGAACCGGCTTCCTGATGGCGACAAAGATGAACCATGACTGGGCAATGTGTATCCCTCATAGTCTGCATTAGGTGGCCTTGTAATGACAGGTGACAACCCAGGAGCACAACTGGGACACAGTTGTCACCCCATGACAGTAGGGGGTATATTTACTAAAACTGTTGCACGGTACCCTGATGAATTGGATTTTTGATTGGATTATTTGAGTTTTTTTTGAAACACTGAGTTTATTTATTTATATATCCTTTTTTTTTTTTGATCTAAGAAGCAATTTTTTTCTAATTTGTTATAGGGTTTTAACACAGACATATTGTATTGGGAGTGAGAATCTGGTGCAGCTGTGCATGGCAGCCAACTTAGCTTGTTTAATTAAGCCTAGACTATAAAACCTGGAAGCTAATTGGCTTCTATGCAGAACTGCACCAGATTTTGCACTCTCCAGTTTTAGTAAATAACCGCCATGGTGTCTAAACAAGGACCTTCATGGCAGGATAAATTTTAATAAACACTGCAGATCAAAAAAATGTTGAAAACAATGTTTTTTAAATAAAATACAGTTTTTTCCTATTTTATCTTTTGTTGTCTCTCATTGCTGCTAATTACCAGCAGCTTCTTGGCAGCAACGTCCTGTCTGCAAGCAGTCCAGTGATGTCTGCATGGTATTTCTCTGGGCAGGTTTCCTGATGGTGACATCAGTGGACCATGCCTGCCTGTGCTGACACAGCCACTAGTAATCACCATTGGAAGAACATGTGACAGGTTAACAGTGCAGGAAAACACTTTGGGGAAGTACCTTTACAAGGACCATTGTGGCAGGATCACCAGGGGTTATTTTGCGGAAAGCTGCAATTTCGCTATATTTAGAAGCACACAACTTTTTGTGTAAGCCTGTTCACATCTAAGCAGCGATGCACCATCATGAGAACTGGACCATTTCATTCAATGCAGAGCACCTTAACAGCGCACTCCCGGACTCCAGAATAAACAGTCACATTGGGGTGTATTTACTAAAGCTGGAGAGTCCAAAATCAGACTTCCTTCTGCATAGAAACCAATCAGCTTCTAACCTCAGCTTGTTCAATGAAGCTTTGGCAATGAAACCTGGAAGCTGATTGGTTTCTATGCAGAAGGGAGTCTGATTTTGGACTCTCCAGCTTTAGTAAATAAACCCCATTATATCCAGTGCTGCTATAGGCCTCCTCCCAGCGCACCTCTCCATTACAGCCACTCTTTGAAAATAGAATGTCTTTCTGGCCTCTGTTTTTCACTGTGGACTTTTCCTTTAAGGGACCCTACACAGGCATATCTTTCACTTATGAAAGGGCAAATACAAACAAAAGTGATGGTTTAGTTATAGGTGGAGTCTGATGGCTAAGTTAGTTACTTCTATATTTTAAATATTAAATAATAGTGAGACCTTCCTGCCATAATTTCACACTCTGTATCTGTCCACCTTGGAGTTGCCATTCACCTCTGTGTGTTCCAGCTAATCCTGTTACATAATGTTAAAAGCCCCTATAATTGTCAAAGCAGGTGTGCAGTCCTGGCAACTGGTGTAAAGTATACAGTATATAAACCCTTACCTTCTAAAACAACCCATTCTGTTTAAAATAGAAATGAAAGGCAAAACATTTGTGCATAGATATAAAAAAACATTACAAATACATTTTTTTTCCTTTTTTATAAGTGCTCAGCTGCACAGAGAGACAAGGGAGGAGAAACTACAGCACACTAAGCTTCCCAGTAAATGGCTGTGTAGGAAGGGGGAGGAGTGTCAGCAGAAGTCTGATCATTGGAGGAGAGCAGACTGAGTCCCTAGCACAGCTAGAGAACTGACCACGCTGCGTTTTCCTGCTTAGTGTGATCAGTTTTTAATAGGAAAGCAGAGGGACTGGCAGGAACACCAGAGATTTCACACAAAGGAAGCAATACAAAGAAGACAGGATACTTTTTCATACAACTACATGGTGCAACAGGCAGATATCAGGAATATGAAATGTTGAATAAGTCTCCATCAACTACCAAAAACTGAACTGTCTTTTCTTGGTGGACTTATCCTTGAGGGATCATTTGCATTCATGCTTTGCAGCAATGCATTGTAAAGCATGTGTGTTACTGCCTGTTCCCACTATATACAGCAATGCACCTTCTGTATGTGCCGTTTCATTGATTGAGAATAGGATTCCAATGCCCTGTACAATAAGTGCAATGCAGGAGGCGACACACTGCACCACAGTGTGCTATATTGCCAAAAAGGGTCACGGGATCAGGTGTGGTGCATTGGCAGCCCATTCATAATGAATGGGCTACCATAATGCAGCGAACATTAATGTGCAATGTAACATGCATTAATGCACACCCAATGGATCAAAGTAGAGCTCCAAAACTAGATCACATAGGTTGGGAAAGAAGTGTTTTATTTCAAAACAGAATTTCTATTGGAACAATAACCTTTAAATTGGTGACACTACCAAATTTTGGGGCATCATTATATTGATAATTGCTCCAATGTTACACCATACATGTATATTGAAAAATGAATTTTCTTCTTTCCTATGGCTGCTTGACATTCTAGGTGATCCGCATGTTAACTGAAAAGTGCCAGCAGCAGCAGGAGATGTTGGACATAGCTGACCAGAAGGATCACGAGCTACTTGAGCTACACATGGACCATCAGACCCTGCAGGAGGAGGCACAAACCCTCAGGTGAATTTTATGAGGATTTTTTGGCACTTTAACCAAGAATGCTGCTCATGGCAACCAATAAAATTCCATCTTTTAATTAATGTTAGAAAATAAGAGGAAAACCTGTGATTGGTATGTTGTATACATGATACCCCATTATCCATAGTATCTTAAGGTCAGCGGTTACCCAAGTCACAAGAAATTACGGGAACAGTACAGCCTGATCCAGGGGCCAGCCTAGGGAAAATTATACACAGAAGGTGCAACAGCTCATAAATGAAGTAAACCACCTGCTATGCCTCACAGAAAGTAAAGTTTTTAACCATTTCCTGTCCGGACACTTTTACCCCCTTCCTGTCCAGGGCAATTTTCAGCTTTCAGCGCTATCACACTTTGAATGACAATTGCGCAGTCATGCAATACTGTACCCATATGAATTTTTTTACCATTTTTTTTTAGATAGATAAAGCTTTATTTTGGTGGTATTTATTCACCGCTGGGATTTTTATTTTTTTTGCTATGTAAATGAAAAAGTCCAAAAAGTTTGAAAAAAAAGTGTTTTTCTTATAAAACTTTGCAAATAAATAATCTTTCATCATAAATCTTGGCCAAAATGTATTCCGTTATATTTTTAGAAAAAAAAAATAAGCCAAATTAGTTTATAACCAAAAATTATAATTTTTAAACATTTTTTTTTACATTTTTATTTTATTTTATTTTTTTATATTATTATTTATGGGTTTTTTTTTACATACTGTCACCCTAGCAGTACAGTGTCACCATGGTGACACTGTACTACTTATGGGGGGTGATGAAGATTTTTTTTTTTTACAGTGATTGCTTTTACACCCATATAGGATGTAAAAGCAATCATTTCTCTTTCTCTCTGTCTGCATTCTTGCAGCCATTGAGAAATACTGAGTGAGCTGTGATTGGTCACACCTTGTCACATGGTACAAGGCTGTTATGAATACCCTTGTACCATGTGACCTCTGTGATCATTCACGGATTTCACACGTAGTAAGCAATGATGTCACAAGTGACATCTTGCTTACTACTTTGCATGTGATCACTGATTGGCCAATCAGTGATCACATGATCGGGACCTCGTACAGAGGTACTGTCCGACGATCAGTGTTTCACTGTGTTTGGAGGACACAGCGGGCACCGGATCGCGGTGCTGCGCGCTCCCAGGGAGCGCGCACAGCTAGAAAAGGCAGGTGCCGTTTATGAACGGCAACCCGCCCCTGGAGTGCCACCGCCCTACCGTTTATAAACAGCAGGCGGACGGCAAGTGTTTAAAGCAATCAAGGTTGATCTTAATACAATTCAAGTACATAAGCTAGTGTATAAAAAATATATACTATATTTAAAGTCCAGCTCCAGGCTACTCACCCTCAGTACAGCACTGCTCTCCTTAGTACCTCTATTCTGCCACAAGATATCCTCCCTAGTCTTGCGGGTTGAACAATGACCAGCGTCACTCAATGCAGAAGACTGAGAAGAGATTGTGAGAGCCCAGCAATAGCACATTACTTTTTTTATTTTAGATAGAGCTGGGTTGTGTTGAAACCTCTGCAGGTTTTTATTGCTGTCTGTGTTCCCACTAGGGAAATTCACCATCTTTTTGTCCTGGTGACCATTGCCATTGGTGCAAAATGTGATGGAAAATCCAACATTTTTAAGTTGTCACAGGAACAGTGAGGGGGAAAGCTTCCAGTGGGGACACCTGTTCTGTTGATAGCGAAGAGGAGAGTTCTCCTTATTTTGTCGAGGTTTTTTTTCTTACTTCCTGTTGCATCTTTGGAGACAAATTGAAAGGAAATTTCCCCAATGTCCCAGACATCCTGAAGACACAGCAATAAAAACCTTACAAAGGTTGTGGTTGTTCCCTGCTCTATATAATATATAATTGAAGCATTGCCCAAAATGTCAGGTATACACCGCTGATGGTGCCAGGCCTCATTGTAGGTTGGTTCAGAATTTCATATGAATGTATGGTGTTTTTATATATTTTTTATTATATTTAGGACTAAAGTAAATTACATTGTAAATGCATTTTTCATTTTTTGTAGTCAAGTAAATTTGTAGTCTTGAGATATTCCATATGAACAATTTCCAGTCAACAGGTGGAGCTCTAGGCTCCTTTTTATACATTTACCAGGCTAACTTTAACTGCTTTGCTGATTAATTAGTACAAAGCTAAACAGCTTCAGCTAAAATTAAATAGCTTGAACCCTTTCCTTGCTGTTCTGTATGGATTTTCACTTAAACAGAAGCCTTCTCATACAGAGAATTCACTACCACGCTCTGTCTTTAAATAGAGCAGCATAACCAGTGTAATGGGTGTACTCTGTTGTATTCAACACTCTAGGTCAGGGGCGGACTGACGACTCATGGGGCCCCCGGGCAATAGGGGATCATGGGGCCCCTGTGTCCTTGCCAAAACTCAAAAAAGCCTATGAAAAAGGTACCAGGGGCATCTCGTGGGTCCCCCTACTGACTCCAGGCCCTCAATAGGGGTTCATGGGGCCCCTGTGTCTTCGCCCAAACTCAAAAAAGTGTAAGAAAAAGGTACCAGGGGCATCTAATGGGGCCCCCTACTGACCCCGGGCAGTGCCCGAGTTTCCAAATGGTCAGTCCGCCCCTGCTCTAGGTACTCTACACATCTGGTCAACAATTTGTGCCCATCCTTCTGAAACTCTGTTCCTCTGTGGGTGTGAGGCCCAATTTATCCTCCCATTTACTCAGACAGGGTGGGATGTATCCTTCCTTGGGTGTCGTTAGGATAGCATAAGAAAACAATAAGATATGTTGTTGTATCAGAGCAATGATGCTCAGAGGAGGAAGGCCACCTGGGACTGACCGTATTAGGTTTAATAGAAGAAAGGAAATGCCTAAATTGTAACGCCTGCCAGAAGGGAAGTTGGGGGTCACCTGTCCATTGAATCTCTGAGATAGATTTCATCCTTTCCCAGAGATGAAATCGTTAAGTCGATATTGGTTTGTAGACAAAAAAGGCGAGAAGCAGGGATCTGTGACATATGCCGGGAAACCCATAGATCCAATAATAGGGGACATCACCGGAGTACCAGATGGGGACGGTACACACCCTAATTTTGATAATGCTTGCAAGGTGGCACCTATTAAGGGGTGGGCACACCTTGCAGAAGGAAGAGCGGAATATTGCCATGGTAGGGTCAACAATGGAAATAAGGCCGTATCTTGTTCCAGGTGTACTCCTGTTTTCACATGCCTATGCTTAACCCAGTCCAGCACCCTACTCATATGTACTGCCAGGTGGTATTTAAAGGGATCAGGAAACCCCATACCTCCCTGCAGCTTAGGTAGAGAAAGTAACCGATAGGAAATCCTCTTAGCCCCATAGGCCTAGAGGAAGTTGATCAATTCCACCTTTGCCAACCGGAGGAAAGACTTAGAGATATGGACCGGGAGGAGGGTGTATCCAGTTTGTAGACATTCAGTTATAAGAAAAAATCTTTATATAAATGTATTCATTTAAAAAAATAAATAAAATTGACTCCACAATATTTATAGTCTTCTCCAAGTGCTGTCCTGGCCTTTGGAAGACTATGCTTATTCTATCATTGGCTATTGATTGGAAAATTCTCTACAGGATGTGTGTTCATTTAAACTTTGAACAGGACATGTGAGTTTTTGTAGGCTGTATGGACACTCAACCTGAATATTGGTCATTTTAAATTGGGAATGAAGGGAATTTAACCCAAAACCCCATTGGTAGCCAGAAAGAAGTGATGGATTACACTGTCAGTTGCTATCATTATAACTAAAACACTGCAGTGTAGTTAGGGGACAAAAATGGGAGCCAAATCATCTGAGACTCAGACACAAGAAAAGTTTTTAGCACTAGAAAGGTTTCTATGGTAGTACCAAAACTGACCAGGTTTAGGGACAAACTGCTGTAATGGCATAATTTTTGTTCTTGGCATATGTTACAAGGAACATCTTGGTATGGAAGATAACCTTAGAGAGGTCTTCAGTTTAGAAAAGTAAGAAAGAGTACCAGATTGACGTACACTTTCCTCCCAGGACATACGATAGTTGCCTTTTCTATTATTAATCTATTATTGCCAATCAATTTATGGCACCATTCCTTCTAGACAGAGAATGGACCATCTGGAAGAAGAGGTGCAGAGACTGATTGCAGATAAAGACAAGGTGATTGGTGAGTTGGAAGATGAGAAGAAGAAGAGGCAATCGGTGGAGAGGGTCTTGGCTGAGGCTGCCTCATCTCTGAAGGATGTACTTATGGTATGAGTTTTCCCAGCAAACTAATTACATTAGTAAGCTTCAAAAATCCAATTATAATCTAGAAAATGACAACTGTAAAAACACTAATAGCACCTTAATCCATTCTTACTTTTTTGTATATATCTAAGTGATGTTAGATATTAACATATATCTCTAAGTGTAGTTGTTCCATCTCTGGATAGAGGAATGTAGAGAATGGTCATGATGTCCAGTAGCTTGTTCTAGTTGGGAACTCCAGTAATGTCAGAACTTTATGAAGGACCTGATCATTATTAGTGTGGCATCTATCTGCCAGCCTAAAGCAGAGGTGGGAAACATCATTTCAAATTCATTCCTAAATCTGCAGCTTTTAATACAATAAAGCCTGGTGATCCTGCCATGAAGGTCCTTTCTTGTTATATGGTGACAATGCTCTCCCTAATGTTCTCCAACGTTCCTTACTGACAGCTGTCACTGGGACAGGAAGGGAGGGGAAATTCTAACTTTTACACAGAGGGGAGTAGAGGGGAAATATTCCAATGGGAACACCTGTTCTAGTGCTAGCTGTCAAAGGTGGGACTCATTCACTTCCTGTTGTGTGTCTGGTACAGGAAATTAAAGGAATGCTCCTGATGGAGACAGCCTTAAAAAAATGGATAAAAGGTTCTAATCTTTTCCTTGGGGCCTGGATGTAGGTGCTGGGAGACACTATAAAGACTAATTTACATGAAAGTGATAAAAAAAAAACCTTTAAAAAATACCTGAAGTATTCAAAGTGAGGTTGTTAGGTATTCTAGACCAATGCCAACCACTACATGGCATTTAAAGTGTGCCCATACTGCTGCATATGGGTGTTTGGGAGGATGTTGTCAAAGATTATCATAAAAACCTACATAGTTTTGAAGTGACCCAATAAGCTGCCTTATATATTTGTTCTAAACTCCTTAAATGTAGACAAGGCTTTACTGGGGTTGCACATATGCAGACTTGAAAAATGTAAAATATATACAGAGTCTGTAAGTACCATTCTGTTACTTATTATGTAGTTTCTTAAGCGAGCAAAATCCTCTTGTGTTAAAAGAGGTAAACACACTCCAGAGAGAAAGATATCATATTACCCCTGTACTAATCATTAGTAAGACCTCATCTGGAATATGCAGTTCAGTTTTGGGCTCCAATTCACAAAAAGAACATTGGGGAACTGGAGAAAGTACAGAGAAGGGCAACCAAACTGATACGAGGCATGGAGGAGCTCAGCTATGAGGAAAGATTAGAGGAACTGAATTTATTCTCTCTTGAGAAGAGGAGATTAAGGGGGGATATGATCAACATGTGTAATACATCAGTGGTTCATATAGTGAACTCGGTGTAGAGCTATTCACCCTGAGCTCATCACAGAGGACAAGGGGGCACTCTTTACGTCTGGAGGAAAAGAGATTTAATCTCCAAACACGGAAAGGTTTCTTCACAGTAAGAGCTGTGAAAATGTGGAATAAACTCCCTCAAGAGTTGGTTCTGGCCAGCTCAATGGATTGCTTTAAAAAAGGCCTGGATTCTTTCTTAGATACACAGAATATAACTGGATACTAACATTTATAGGTAAAGTTGATCCAGGGAATATCCAATTGCCTCTCGGGGGATCAGGAAGGAATTTTTTTTCCCAGCAGGAACAAATTGGATCATGCTTTGCTGGGTTTTTTTGCCTTCTTCTGGATCAACTGTGGGTGTAGGATTAGAACATTTTTTTTTAATGGTTGAACTGGATGGACTTTTGTCTTTTTTCAGCCAGGCTAACTATGTAACTATGATTGCAGAGAAGCCAACTGCCAGGCTCACTAGCATCGCATTCTCATTCTAGACAAGCAGGGAGGAGTACAACTAGGAGCAGAGTGACTGGTCGATGAGAGAGTGCACTGCTGGCAGCCCATTGCTCCTCTGCTGGCAGCCCTGTCAAGTACAGAGAGCTGCATAGCAAATAATGTGGGGTGACATGCAACCCTCGAGTCTAAAGTCTGCTGTTGTTATTATTATACAGGATTTATATAGCGCCAACAGTTTGCTCAGAGCTTTACAATGTAACGAGACTATACAATTCAATACAAGAGGGTTAGGAGGGCCCTGCTCCTCGGAGCTTACAGTCTAAGAGGGAGGGGACTGTTATATTTCCCTCTGTTTTTTGTTACCTGTGGCTATACTGCAATATTACAACAGCAGTCCAGGAAGGGATACAGGGTATAATAAAAAAGTTTTTATTTATTGTTATTATGTATGTCTGTGCAGGAGACACCCAAGATTGAGGGGGAAGACTTAGAAGTCGCAAGATTAGTAACACAAAACCAACTTTTGGAGAAACTCTTGATGCTGCTCAACAGTGCGGCCACATTAGGCCTCGGTCCAGCCTTAGATGACTTCCAGAGAAGAGATAACCAATCTACGGACCATTACATTGCACCTAAAGCCAACAGGTACAATTTATTAAAATAATTCCTTTCCTCGTTATGCTCCTCATTATGAATAATGACCAAAAGAAGAATATTGAAAGAACAAGTGGCAGAAATAAGATTTTTGTACTCACTGTGAAATCCTATTCTTGGAGTGAATTTAGGGATACTGAATTCTTAGATTGTCTGGTTATACTTCCACCACAGGAGAACTAGACATGCGCAGGAAAAAAATAAACAAAAAAAAAAAAAATCTTGGCCAGCAAAGTACAACCCTGTTCACAAGGCAAGTAGCATATTTGGTGCACTGTGTGACAGAGTAAGGAGGTAGATGCAGCATATAATAGTATGTATAAACATATAATCAATGGTGATGGCATTAGGGAAAATAAATCATGAACAATATACTGTGATGAATATACAAATAAAATGTCCTTAGAGTCCTATAGGTAATTCTGATGCACCATGGAGTGGAGGCAGCCAGCCAGCCAGCCAATAATGAGCTAGAGAGGCCCTGTGTAAGATCAGGAAGAAAGAGGCAGTGCCCTCTAAATGCAGTATGAAAGCTTTTTAATGGATAAAAAGTGTAGTAACACAGGCCACTCACAAAGCATAAGTAGGTTTGCGCTTGTAAATTAATAAGTATCCGCTGTAGTGAAGGAGTGTAAAACCTCTGGATGGATGGTGGTCACCTGCATCTGGTGGTGGTTCTGGTGGTTTCCATTACGTCCTCCTAGTTTCGGGATTCCCTCAGTTGAGACGTCACTTCCGGTCACGTGATGGTGAGGGTTGGCGTGCATTCGGAGCATTTGTGCTCCCTCATCAGGCTAGAAGGTCGCCATCTTGATGTGGGGCATTTGTACTGTCAGCGAGTGGAGGAGTAAGGGAACTCCTACTACAGGCAGACACCGCTTGAGGAGTAAACGACTCACAGCAAGAGGGCTATAATTAAGCGCAGGAGTGGACAATTAGGCGATAAAAAATATGTGATAAAATGTAATAAAACAAAGTAAGAGAAAAGATGTATATCGCAGATGTTAAAACACGGAAATTACCTTTAGCACTATATCCATGTGTGAGAAACTTATACAAATGAAAACTACAATAAGGGTTCATAGCGTTATACAGAGTGCAAGAAATATTGAAAATATATATAAAACAACAGATAATTGAATACTGAAAAGTAAAATGAGCAAAGCATTGGAATAATATGTCAAAACTAGTATTAAGCTGCAAAAACAAACTAAAGAATAAAAATGGGACGTACCAATCAATGATGAGCTCATCGATAAGGAATCAGTAGAAGAGTGGTACAATTTCTTTAACCAGAAAGGCCAAGAAGTAATGCACGTTTTGCTGAAATGCAAGCAAAGAAAGATGGAAAAAATCGGGGAGCAATTAAAAACCTATAAAGATAAATTAGAACCATATAAGGATACCACAGAATATAAAAAATTATTGGAGGAATTGAATAAATATCTTGAGAAGAAAGGTCCGGAGGTCAAAACAATGGCAGATTAAAATGAAGGAACAAAAAGGGGCTGGAGGGGATCAAGAAGGGAATGAAATAAAAATATATAGTAGAGAAAGTAGCTATGATGGAGAGGGAGAAGGCCAGGTACAAGGAGAATGGCGAGAAATAAAAAGATCACCACAAATAAGGAGGTCGCCACAAAGAAGTAACATAGGATACAAGACACCCAAAGGCCAACAACTAGGATACAAAGGCCCAAGGAATAATCAATATAGAGTAAATTATGTGTATGACAACACAAGAAGGGGAGACTATAACACCCCCAGAGGTAGGAATTATCAGCAATCAACTAGGGATGCATACCATTCACCAAGAAGAAACCAAGGGAGAGAATATTATCACAGTGGAGAAAGAAATCATCAACAGACATATAGAAATGAATACTACTCCCCAGTAGCCACCAGGAATAGATATGAATCATTGAGGAACTACAATGAGGACAATTACACCCCATGTAAGCCTTATTTTTTAGAGGTGACCAAACCCCCACGATCACATCAACAAGAACAAAGGAAAGAAGAGGGGTATTATCATCAAACACACCACAGGGTACAAAATGGAGGAAAGAGGGGGAGAGAACAAAATCCACAAAGAAGGACCACACCAGAAAGAAGAGAGGATGTAGAGGAGGAAAGAGGCAACAAAAAAAGAGAGTATTAGGAGAAGGGATATTTAACCTGAGTGGAATTACCCTTTAAAAAAGAACTACGGGTTCTAGATAGGGGTTTAAAATATGCCCCAACCAAAAACTTCAATAAATGTGAAACATTCATCAATATTCAAAAGTATATTCAAAATATTAATATAAAAAAGCATACGTTGAAGAATCCCCAGATGCAGACAAATAGAATAGCACAAACAGATAAGATAATCCATAGAGGGCTAAGGAATAGATCCACATTTAACCCCCAAATTGGAAATAATAAATATGTGGATGTCTTCAAACGGATGTTACTATAAGATCTAAACAAGTTAAACATTGAGAATTACAACAACCCAGACAATATAAGGAGGGGAATCAAAGAAATCGAAAAAAGAAATGAGGTGGTGATATGTCCAGCAGATAAAAATGAGGGGGTATAGTGGTTCTATCGAAAGAGAAATATAAAGCAGAGATGGAAAGGATGGTGAAAGATGAAAACACGTACTCCCTCCTACCACGCAACCCGACATTAGGCAACAGAAAAGAGTTGACAGAAATAATCAAAAAAGGGCAGGAAAAGGGCTTTCTAAATGTAAAAGAAGAAAAATACTTGGTATCAACAGCATACAGAATACCTATTATATACTCCATCCCGAAGATACACAAAGATAGGAAGAACCCTCCAGGGAGACCGATAGTCAATGGTATTGGCTCGGCCACTGAAAGATTGGAGCAGTATGTACACGTTTTTCTGCAACCGGAAATGCAGACTACCAAGGCCTTTTTGAAAGATACGAAGCATGTTCTAGTTTTTGGAGGAAATCAAGGATGTAGAAGATTTAATATTTGCTACAGCAGACGTGAGATCACTGTATACGATTATCTACCACAGGAAAGCAATGGAAACGGTTAAATGGGCCCCTTGATAAAAATTAAAAAAATGGAGGATAAACAAAAGAAGTATATAAGATGCTTATGCTTCTGTTTGGAACATGCATACTTCTGATATGACAGTAAATACTACAAACAAGAAACGGGAGTATAATTGGGATCTACATTTGCTCCAAGTGTTGCAAATTTGTTCATGTCAAAATGGGAGGAAGAGGTAGTATTTAATCACAAACTGCAAGAGCTCATCTTATACCGCAGATTTATTGACAATTTTCTAGTTATATGGAAGGGTAATGACAGCTCCCTAAATAATTTCATAGTGAAAATTTAACAACTATAAAAATATCGTGCTAACGTGGGAAGTTAGTAATGAATCCATACACTTCCTAGATTTAGTAATATCAATGGCGCATAATACGATCATTACCCACACATACTTTAAACCAACCGACAGAAACAATTACATTACGATGGATAGCTGTCACCATATCACTTGGTTGATGAACATCATGAGACTTAGAAGGAACTGCACCAAGAAAGAAGAATATACGGGGGAAGCAACAAAACTTGGAGAAATGTTCATCAGAAAAGGATACGACAGAATGTACTGTATATTGAAAATCAGAAACAGCAGGTTGATAATCGTCACAGAAAAGACCTCATTAACAACATAGAAAAGAACAGAGACGAAGATTATACAGGAGCGATTGTATTGCATTATAATAAACAGTACAAACAAGTGGAAAAGATCATACATAAACATTGGGACATTTTAACAGCAGACAAATTGTTAACGAACACTTTACCAAAATATCCAAAGTTTATCTACATGAAGGCTCCCAATCAGAGAAGCAGACTGGTTAAAAGCATCATAGATCCTCCTAAAATTAATAAGACCTCCTTTTTTTAATGAAAAAGGTTTTTTCGCATGTGGTCGATGTTTTGGGTGTAAAAATACCAGAATATCCAGGAGAAATACATTCATATCACACTCAACGGGAACACAATACGAGATAGTGGAGTGTATCACCTGTAGAACGGAAGGAGTTGTCTATTGTATCCAATGTCAATGTGGATTACAATATGTAGGTCATACAAAACGCACGATGGCCAAGAGAATACAGGAACATGTTAGTAGCATTAAAAAAGGATGTAGTAAACATAACCTGTCTAAGCATTTTTCAACTCACCATAATAGTAACCCTGTTGGATTACAATTCTGGGGGACTGAAAGATACAAACCCCATTAGAGGGGCAACAATAAAATTAGAACTTTAAGCCAAAAGGAATCTAAATGGATCTTCCAATTACAAACAATGGTACCGCAAGGGTTAAATGTGGACTTCAATCTTAATTGCTTTATAAGAAGACTTTTAATAGCCAGAGATAATAGGAACACAAACCCATATAGTGTATTGATATAGTAGGGCTTTTACAGTATCTTAAGGGCATTCTGCACACCAAAATATCAGGTTAGGCATATATGATCTCTATAGTTTATATATGATGACATCACTATGAAGTATTTACGTACATATAGAAGTAAGGATCTATAAAATATGGATGTATGTGTCATATGATTCAGATACAGTTGCAAGAAAAAGTATGTGAACCCCTTGGGATTACGTGAAGTTTTGCATGAATTGGGCATAAAATGTGCTCTGAACGTCATCTAAGTCACAACAATAGAAGAACACAGTCTGCTGAACATAATACTACACAAACATTAGATGTTGCCATGGTTTAATTGCACATAACATGTAAACATTCACAGTGCAGGGAGGAAAAAAAGTATGTGAACCTTTGGACTTAATAACTGGTTGACCCTCCTTTGGCAGCAATAACCTCAACCAAACGTTTCCTGTAGTTGCAGATCAGACCTGCACAACAATCTGGAGTAATTTTGGACCACTCCTCTTCACAAAACTGTTTCAGTGTAGCAATATTCTTGGGATG